GAATAATATTATGATAATTACAATTTGTTAGACAGTCAATGGTTCTTCTAAGTTCTTTGTTTTTAAATGTTTGAGTAGAACAGTGGGAATGTAGGATAATCCTTAATTAAGCGGAGTGGTTGTGTATGAGAATAAGTGTTACAATATGTGTTTTCTTGCCTATTTTTTGAAGATGTTGAAATAGTTTTAATTTTTCAATCATAACTTCAAGTTCTTGACATGAAAAATGACATAATGATCGTGATTCAAATGTCTAATTTATGTATACATTATTGATCATTTGGCTGAAACTGATATTTGTGTTTCATTTTTGGTTAGATATACGTGATGTTATCGTTCTTGTACAGGTTCTGGTTCATCTTCAAAGAAAAGAAGTCGTGGTCAGACAATGGGGAAAGGGATACTGAAGAAATTTGCTTCTACAGGACATAAAATAAAAATTAATTGGATCCTTTCGTAGGAAGACCGGTAAATGGTGAGCAGTCCGCAAAACTTTCAACTCAAATAGGCATAGTGACACGAGAAGTTCAGCCAGTTCCCAAAAAGTGGAAAAACATTGATGAGGAAAAAGATTTGACACCAAGCTTTGATCATGTGCAGGTTTGTAATTTTATAAATTCTTATAAAGATTAATCAAGTTTGATCACAATTTAACCCCATTTTTCATTTTTATTATTTAGATGCATCTAGATGTTAATATTGATGCCCCTGGAGTGAAACAATGCTTTATTGAAAGGATGAAATGTAGTAGCCGTCAGAAAAGGTACAAGTTGCATATGCATTACAAGAAGTTTGCTTCCACTCAAGAGGCTAAGGCAAACAAACCAGCCTTTTGTCCGAGTTAGGAAACTTGGGAACAGTTGTGTGACCATTTTGCGAGTCCACATTATAAGGTATTATGTCCTTTATCAATTAAAATACAGGAATTAATAATTTGGTATGCCATCATATGAGTTATTTCATTGTTGTAGCGCATAAGTTATGTGACTGGGGGAAATAGGAAAATGTTGCGAGCCCCACATATCTCTGGAAGAAAACCATTTACAGTTCGGCGAAATGAGATTGTAAGTTATCTGACAATTTGTTTTCAAATTAAATAATGTATAATCATATAATATGTCAAACAATTCTATAATTTTTATTTGTAAAATAACAAGTGTTCAAATTTCATGGAAACACTGTTGTCAGTCTGAGAAAGAGCTAAATGGAGATCCATGTGATTGCATTGAGTTGTATAAACACA